TAAACATGGGCAACTTCGAAAGGCCACTACTCGGACCTTCCGGAAGGCCGTAGACTTGGCCTTTCGATACTGTAGCAGCTACGACCTTGACCTTTTTGGACTGTAGCAGCTACGACCTTGACCCTTCGGGAAATCTACGGCTACGACTTCTAGACCTGACTAAGACTCCTACTCGACAGGTCTACAGATCGAACCCTTGCTACCTATGGACCCTACGACAGTCTACCAACTGTTACAAATACACAGGTCACGGGTTCAACTCCAGGGTTCGACACACATACTGTACACAGGTAAGGTGGGGACTAGGGATCGAGCCCTGGGATCTGCATTGGCTACTGCGAACTGGTGAATATCGTTTCACTCCGCCCTGCCTAAATTCGAGGTCCTCCGAGAATAGTTCAGTCCAAGGCAGGACCTTTACCTTTCTTATCTCTCTCATAGGCTCTAACTATGTCGGGAACTATCTCTAGAAGTTCTGCTCTAGTGAACCAGCGGTCGTCCTCCGGTTCCTGATAAGCAAACCGGACTTTATAATGTTTCTGCGGACGGCCTCTACCTCCTGTTCTGAACACATCTTCACCTACAATGCCGTCAATGTCGTATCTCCCGTCCATGTCCGGGGGGATCATGGATCGCCTAGATGGGAACTGTTGACTCGTGACACACGGCAGCAACTTTGATGCATGAAATATCGGGTAGGTGTGGAGGTGTGATGGGATCTCTATAGTGTAGGACGGTCCATCCTCTCCGCCCTTAACTTCTAGAACTGGCCACGGTCCTTTATACGCGGGCAGTAACTTCTGCGAGATGTTTTCCTCAGGAGCAAACTCTTTAGACTTGACCCAGACCAGGTCACCTACCTGAAACTGTGACGGGCGACGGTGCTTATTAGCCTGTTCTATCATGCGGTGCTGGGCCTTTCTGAGGTTCTCAACAACAGTGGCTATCTCTTTCTCATGCTGTATCGCACACTCCCTCCGTATCGCGTCCGTGGTGACGACAAACAACAAAGACGGATCTACTACTTTCAGGACAGGGTACTCTATCAACGCGCGCTTCAACTTCTTTAGCGCAGACGTATAGTCCTTATCCCATTGCCAGATCGCTTCTTTCTTGAGCAATTTGCGAAGGGGTGCGGCGATAGTCGAGAAGTTCCTCACGAACTTCCTATAGTAGTTAGGTAGGCCTAAGAACGACCGCAACTCTGTCAACGTGCGGGGCATCGACCAGTCTCTAATTGCCGCTATCTTACTGTCCTCAGGCTTAATGCCATCTCCGTCTAACACGTGGCCCAAGTACAGGACTTGTGTTTTGACCCACTCGCACTTCTTCGCATTGATCTTGAAGTTAGCCTCTCTCAGCTTCTCCAAGACCTGCCTCAAATGACCCTGGTGCTCTTGGAGGGTCCTACTGAATACTAGGATATCGTCTAGATATATTACGACAAATCTATCTAACCAAGGCCTAAACAGATCGTTCATACAACGTTGAAACGTCATTGGCACATTGGTCAGTCCAAAGGGCATCACTATGAACTCATAATGCCCATAACGAGTCCGGAATGCAGTCTTGTACTGGTCATCAAGATGAACTTCTATCTGATGGTATCCGGACTTCAAATCTATCTTTAAGAAATACTTGCAACCCTGCACCCGATCTAAGACATCGTCTATCCTGGGCAGTGGTTCAACATTCTTAACGGTAATCGCATTTAGACCCCTATAGTCTATACACATGCGCAACTCTCCTTCCTTCTTAGGGACAAACAAAACTGGTGCTCCAAAAGGAGACGAACTGGGCCTAATCCAACCTTTCTCTAGAAGCTCATCCAATTGCTTGCGCAACTCCTCTAACTCTCTAGGGGACATCCTGTAGACTGCTCCCTTAGGAGTTCTACTGTCAGGCTCTATCTCTATCCTGTGTTGGATCGGTCGCGACACTACTCCTGTTGGCGGCTCTGTCAAATCTTTAAACCCTTCCAGCAGCTTGGCAATGGCTGGATCCATGGAACTATCCTCTTGCTTAGGCTCAGTGACAGGCCTTACATACACTACGAAGACCTGATCCTCTAATTGCTCCTTCTTCACTAATCGCGCGAACGCGGGAGCACTGAGGCAACAATGTGGGAGTTATCTACTCCTGACACATGAAACAGACGAGTTGTCTTAACTTCGCCTGACGGACTAGGGAGCCTACACTCATGCTCTCTTAAGTGGAGTGTGGCCCCTGCTGCCTCTCCCCAGTCCATACCTAGGACTATGTCAAAAGGAAGGTCATCCTGAACAAGGAGAGTCAGGGAATGGAGAACTTTCTCCACCTTCCCATCTTTCTCTAGGCGCAAGTACGCCTGGACTCCCTCCACGTAGTCCTCCACACGCATACAACGGTTGTCTGCGAGGACACTAACTACGGGGTCTTCCAACTTCTGGACTTTCAATCCTAGCCTCAGCTTCTTCAGCGCTCTACGACTAATATAACTACGGGTAGCCCCTGAATCTATAAGGGCCCCGACTCTACTCCTGAACACTTCTACATCCACTAACACTAGCTGCCCTTTACTATCTTTCTTCATCTTGGCCCAGACAGGCATCCTCTCCTTCAATTCCTCTGCCACGCCTGTGAGGGACGTGCCTAGAAAGACGCTGACACAAGCAGTCTCTGGACAGCTAACTAGGCACGGGCCTGCAACCTCTGCCGAAGGCTCATGTGGTGTGGGAGTTTCCTGTATGCGCGCGCTCGCTTCCCCACATGGCCTAGTAGTAGGGGCAGTTGCAACCCCTACCAGCGGCTGCCTTTTGACTCCTGGGCATCCCATCGGGCCTGTCTATACTTAGGACAATATTTTATGATATGGGTAGGGTCACCACAGTAAATGCACTGCCCCTGCTCCATCCGCTGCTGCCATACTTTCTGGTCCAGGCCGAGATCTTCCCAGGGCCGGCCTTGTGGCCAGCCTGAGTGCCATCCTCCTGACCTTTGAGGTGATCTGCCACCTCGTCGTTGTGGGGACCGACTGGGACCTTGACGATTCGGCGGGGGACCTTGACCCCCACCTCCCGCTTCACGGTTCCCTTGACCGCCAACCCCCTGTGCGCCCAAACCTCGGCCTCGCATGGCCTGGCCCCTTTGGCCCTGGCCTCCTCCTCTACCTTGCGGCCTCCCTCCAACTGCGACAGCAGCATAGGACCTCCCCTGACCTGCGCCACTGTCCTCCTCCTCAAGTCCCCACTCAATCTGACTGTAGGGGACCTCATCAGTACTACCCTCATCTAAGGTGAGGATCAAATGATCCTTGGCCCTAACCTGGCCTGAGATGGTACGACCCTTCCACTTCTTTCCCTTGTCTAGGTCCTTATGCCAGAAAGTGGAAACTGGCATGGACTTGGCCTCAAACAAGACCACTTCCCTACTCAATGTGTCATACGTGATGTTGGGCTGCTGGGTCTTGTCGAAGAAGTGCCGTCTCAAGGGCTCTGGCATGGCAAAATAGAATAACTGGACCAACTGGGTCTCCGTGACCCCATGGTCTGGGACGGCTACCAAGTCGTCCATGACAGCTTTGAGTGCTTTCGCACTCCTCCACTGTCATGAGTGCATGGTTTGAAGCTTATCAGAGGCCCTAACGCCTCTCGTGGGATCGGCAAATTGCTCCCTCAGGAGTTTGAGGAACTGGGGAAGTGAGGTGGTCTTAGAGTATGCAACCATGTTGTTTTCACAACCGGCCGCGCGCGCAAGGGACCTGGCAAAACTAGTTGCTTCATCCTTCAAGGCCTGGAAGGCTACGAGGACCTGTTCCTCAAACAAAATGTGTTGTAAGTACACGTAACTGTTAACACTAGCCTCCCAATTATCAAAATTTTCCTCCTTCTTCCCGCCATACGCGTAAGGAAATTTGAGCTTTACTGGCTCCTTGCAGGGACGTGCTTCGGCTTCTGCCGTAGCCACTACTTTGGCGGTCTCAATGGCGCCTGCGCAGAACTTGTCTACGTCTTGGCCCTTACGGGCCTGGTGCTCTTCCAGCCAGGCCTCACTCAAGACTTCCAAGAAGCCCATCATCTTATTGGCAGAGACCTCTGTTTGGGCAATTCCTGCCTGCCGGTTCGCACTCGCTCAACCTCCCCGGCTATTCTACTAGCTTCCTCCCTCCTTCTCTTCTTTTCTCTCATCATCTTCAGCTTCCACTCCAACTTTTTCTCATCCTCTGTCGCCTGGAGTTCCAAGGGATCCTCTATCAGCTTCAGGGCCCTGGCAAACGCCTCCCTCTCCTCCTGCGGCACATATAATTGTGCCTCTTCATCTTCTCCCAATGATAAGTTAGCCACCCATTCACTAATCTTCTTTTCCCTCCATCTATCCTCCTCCTTCGTGCCACTACTCTCCCCTCGTTGTTCCCCGCGTTTTCTCTCGAGGGGTTCTTCTTTTTCTTCTTCTTCCTCCTCTGCTGCTGCTTCTTCTTCTGCAGCCTTCCTCCTCTCTTCCTCTTCTTGCTGCAACATCAGCATCTTCTCCTTCTGAAATCTCAGCATCTCCTCGTCTAGCTTCTTCTTCTTTGCCGCCTGCTCCTCTGCAATGGCCTTTAACTTCGCCTGCTTAAGGAGCTCTCTCTTCTCCTTTTTCTCTCTCAAAAGGGCGGCAATCCGGGCCTGCTCGGCCTCGGAGGGGGCAGTGCTCTTCCCAGTACGAGTGTCAACCATGGTGAAAGGTGCACAACGAGACACCGGTTCCACTCCTCACCACTTAGACTCTACTCCCCCTGACTGACACACCTACTGACTCAATCTAAGACTTACATAATCCGGACAGGATCCTATCAACTAGGGTCTCTAGCCTAGACCTACTCTAAGGCTGTCACTACAAGACCTGTTGCTGATCAGGAGGCATTTAAGGAGATCCCCCGTAACTCCTCAGGAATTATTTAACGTCGCAGACAGGACGACGCGATCAGCAGGTCTTCTCAACACTTAGACGGCCTGTTGTGCAGCCCACAGCTCGGATTTTGGGCCTACTGTGCCACAACGAGCAGCCCGCTGGTCAGTACCGGTCCTTGGGAGGGTTCGTGTCCTCCGGGACAGTCGAGTCGTCAGACACAGTCTTTAGCCCTACTCAGCCCATGTGGGTTTGGTCAACAAGGCCCTATCCTTCATCCACAGAGTTCCTATCACCTGGACAGAAGAGACTCAATGCAGAAAAAAGAGACAGACAAACTTGACTCAGCAAGTACCACAGGGTGTGTGCACATCCATAGGGCGAGGGGGTAGGCTGAAGGCTTGGAGAGATTATACCGGCTCCAGCTCGGTCAAACTCGTGGTCAACGCCTTGGTCAACGCTGCAATCCCCCGGTCAACTCCCGGTCAACGCTGGTTAAACCCGGTCAACACCTCCGATCAACTCCCGGTCAACGCCGGTCAACCCCGGTCAACACCTCTGGTCAACTCCGGCTATGGCGGCCGGCTTCACCTTCGTCGCCACCCTTCTCCTTCCTTCTCCCTACCTCGCCTCCTTTCTTCTTCACCCCTGTCGTCTTCTTTCTCCCTTTTTCTTTTTTGTTTTTTTGGTCGTTCTCCCTTCACCTCCTCGGCTATGGCTTCCTTCACCCTCCTTGTCTCCTCCTATGTCCCCTCTCTCTCCCTCTTCGTTACTCCGTGGTCAAGCTCTGCGGCTATGGCCGCCTCCTTCCTCGTGGGACTGCACGGCACACTTCACAGGTACGTGACAACCAAACTTGTATCGCTCATCTCTCTCTCTCCCTCACTCTCTCTCTCTCGCCATAGCGATGTCTTCAACGCAGGTACGTGGTAAGCCAATCTTGTATCGCTCAACCTTTCTTTCTCCCTCTCTCTCTCTCTCTCCCTCTCTCTCCCTCTCTCTGTCTTCTTCGTCGTCGTGGTCTTCTCTACAGGTGCGCGCGGCGGCTTCTTCAACCTCCACCATGGCAGAATTCTCCTCCGTTGGCAACTTCGACTATGGCGCGTTCTCACCCTGCGACACACAACGGCACAGCGCGCGTGGAATAGCGGGTACCTGCTCCGATACCAATGCAATCAGACTCGCTCTCATTCACACTTCTCATGCATGCAAACAGGTGTGCAGCAGGCTGGCGACAAGCGCCCACTCAGAACTCAGAGATATGGTAACCAAAACGCAGCTCAGATTCAAGTTCACTTCAGATGGCTATGGCGACTCAGCGCCCACACAACTCTCTGTTCGCATACGCAGGATCACCCTGGATATCCCACACGCGATACTCAGTACACACACACACTCACACACTGAACTCTAACTACAGCTATGGCGGCTATGGCTGCTGCTACCCTATCGCTATGGCTACACTCCTTCTCTCTCGCCCACTTCGTCTTCGGGCTCACTGCAGACCACCTAGCACAAGTCGCTGTGGCAGCGCTTCCGCATGGCTCACGCAGGAATGAACGAATGGCTGGGCGCTGCCTCTTGATTTATGCTTCTGCAGCTCGTTGGTCTGGCCCTTTCCCATGCCCGTAGTGCACACAGTCCCATGCGGTACTTGCTTGACTGGACTAGGACTGACTGGGACTCGGACTGCTGACTCAGCACGGGTAGACTCCACCACTTGCCCACTTGCCTCAGTCTAAACCACCACTTGCCTCAGTCTAAACCACCACTTGCCCACTTGCCTCAGTCTAAACATGGGCAACTTCGAAAGGCCACTACTCGGACCTTCCGGAAGGCCGTAGACTTGGCCTTTCGATACTGTAGCAGCTACGACCTTGACCTTTNTAAACATGGGCAACTTCGAAAGGCCACTACTCGGACCTTCCGGAAGGCCGTAGACTTGGCCTTTCGATACTGTAGCAGCTACGACCTTGACCTTTCTGGACTGTAGCAGCTACGACCTTGACCCTTCGGGAAATCCACGGCTACAACTTCTAGACCTGACTAAGACTCCTACTTGACAGGTCTACAGATCGAAACCCTGCTACCTATGGACCCTACGACAGTCTACCAACTGTTACAAATACACAGGTCACGGTTTCAACTCCAGGGTTCGACACACATACTGTACACAGGTAAGGTGGGGACTAGGGATCGAGCCCTGGGATCTGCATCGGCTACTGCGAACTGGTGAATACCGTTTCAGACACGACGTTTTCGGTGGAAAAGGATGGAAGGGGTCCGAATAAAGAGATGAAAGTGGGCAGTAAGGTGAGAGGCGAGGAGGGGAGAGAAAGGGAAAGTGAAGGGAGGTAACGACAAGCAGAACAGCGGAATAGGACAAGCACGGCGGGCAATAATATACTGAGGAGAACATCTGATCTCAATCAGGGCAAGAGGTTCTTACCTATGACCAGACCATTCACAGGAAGATGAGAACAGACACGAAGGGTGAAAGTAAGGTAACTCCTCCCTAGACTGCTGCTCATCAATTCGAGGTAAGTCCAGGGCTTCCCAGATCGCGATTAATCCTCATTGCCACTTCATGTCAGTTCAGATGCTGCCAACAGGTAATCACAAGTCCGGCAAAGACAGCCACTGGCGACATTGGAGGAATACAGCCGCATCAAAAGTCCAGGGTAATCCGATCTGAGTGGCCATCCCACACAGCCACAAATTTCATAGCAAAGCATAGGGTCTCGCTGCACTACTCTCCACTCTCCGGATTTGTGATTGCTGCACTAACTAACCGATTTCACCCCTGAAAGACCTTCGGATAGCTGTCAGAAACCGCCTTTGAAAAGCAACTGTGGTTTTTCGGATGGACCCCCACCCGACTCTCCAAGTTGCTTCAAATTCGGAGCGTGTGCCTGGAGTCTGCGCGGACAAAATGCAGATCACGCCGTGTCCTCCAGCGCTGTCACCGTGTCTGCTAGTGCACTCAAGAATTGGAGTCTCGGAGAGTTGAGAGTTAGTGCAGCGGTGAACCAAAAAATCACGAATTAAGAGGGGTTTTCAGCTCTCCGTGCAATCTCCGAATTTAATGCAGCAATAGATTCGCACTTTCCCACCACGGCAAACCCACACCAGACCTACTACGACCAAGGAAGAAACGACGACCCATTAAGGAGAAAGGACAGGGGAATAAAGACGAGAGAAAGAAGGGGTAGGAGACAAAAGGAGCAAGAGGACAGGAGGAATCGAAGTGGAAAAGAGACCGATTAGGGTAAAGAAGGGAGAGAAATGAGCACGCAGATTCAGCTTGGAAAGGCTTAGCAGAAAGCTTAAGGAGAGACAACAGCAAAAGAGAGGGAAAGGGGTAGCAGGTATTCTATTTCGTTATCACTCATCACTCACTACGATGATCAACTTATTCTGCCTCTGTCTTCTTTTTTTTCTATACTCTTTATAAAGGGAATATACTCTTTTGCAAGGAAAATAAGTAACAGCGAGATTCACACCATCACATTGAAAGCCAAATAGTCACACCGTGTCCAGAGAGCAGCATTGCACCAATATTACACCAATGGAGGTTCGTAGCACTGAAAACCAATGTTCATGGAGAGCATACTCTCTCCTCCCAACACAAGAGTCCAGTTCCTTCACACTCACACTTGGCGCTCAGCGCCCAGCCTACTCCTACACAGCTACTACAGACTACAAAAAGACAATGCAACTGTTGACATCAGCGGCAGCCCGAAGTACTTGAAGATGTCGCCCATGCAGACCATCGCCAATACAAGGTAAGTGCCCTCACATCATCATCATCATCATCCTTCACCTATCCCCTGACTACACCCACATCTATCCTCTGTTTCACCCAAAGACCACCCCTGCGCCTCACTGTAGTCCAAGCCCACCAGCTATGGTGGCTGGGCTATGGCGCTGCCCTCAGCAGCGCCCTTCTTCCCTGCACGACCACACGTGCTGCACCTCGCCTCTCAGCGCCAGCCAGCAGCTGCGAGCTCTTTCTCCAGCAGCGCTGCCGCCAGGATGCGAGTGCCTGAATGAGGCAGCCAGGGCTGATCTCTTTACTTTATGGAAAGAGTTGGCCTGCTCGCGCAGCCTGGCTGCCCTGGCCTGGGCCCAGAAGCTTCCGGAAGGCCCCAGGAGGCTGCCTGGATGCAGCAGCTACTGGGCTGCTGGGCCTTGTTCGGTTGGGCGCCCAACTGTCTCTGTATGAGGCTGTGAATCACGTCCAGGGCCTGCATTCTTTGGAAAGGCCCGGAAGGCCTTGGAAATGTCTTTGTTGCTCGGCCTGTGTTTCTTTCAACCAACTGGCGCATCGCAACTGCCTGGACCCCAAATATGAAATTGACAGTCGAGGGCCTCTTGCAAAAAGCCAGGCCCGCCTTCACTTAGGGCGGGCAATGCTGCATACAGGGCCCAAAGGCCTGCCGAGGACCCAGATCCTCGCACTTTATAAAGGGAACAGCGGGTCTCGCGTGATGCTGCCATGAGCCCGAGCTCCCTGTGTTGGGAAAACGTCTGGGAACACAGCACGGGCCCAAGGGAAACTCGCAGAAATCGTTTTTTTTTTTTTTTTTTCCGGTCTCGCGCGAGTTCGAAGGCTGGCGCGACGTGGGGAGGTGCTTTGGAGTCATGGGGCACTGCTTTTTGTTGTTTTTTTTTTCGTGCGCGCGAGTTCACCGATCGAGTACATCACCGGTGCTCGGAGTGTGCGGCAGTCCCACTGTTATTGTTGGCGCGGTGGCGAGTTAAACCACATGTTCCAATACAGCTACAGGGCCTCGCTCCACTACTCTCCAAATCTGCAAAATGAGAGTGAATCTTCCGCTAGAACATGGGAAGATACACTGCCATGGGTTTTGAGGTTTGCGCATGTGGAGAGTAGCCG